AATGGCAGGAGTAAGAAAATGTAAAACTAAATTAAATAGCCCTCATAAGAATTTCGGTAATAATTGCATGGGAGGGAGGCACCACCGATCAAGTCCATATTCATCCTGCTATTATTAATCTTTCCATCCAGTGTATTTCTCACTTTTGTCTTTGCTGTCTACTTGGCTCTAAAGGAAACATTTGCTTCGATGTCGGCAAGTAAAATCTCTAAGAACTCAAAAGGTCTTGTAGCAGGTCAACACACTCCCAGTGTTGTACCTCCCCTCATATCAAGTCTGAAGATACAGATTCAAAAGGAGAGGAATGAATTGCGATTATACTCACATGCCATTCAAATTCATTTCACAGACTTAGATCTATGGCTCTTCCTCTGCCCTTACGCATTTCAGGGCCAACTTTCACATTCCAACCCAGATAGAATATGAGATATGTATGACATTGGACAGGAGTGTCTCTGAGGAAAGCCCAAGAAAGAAGTGGATATGAAAATCAGTTTTCTTCCATAGGGCAGGTAAGTCTGAGCAAGTATTCGAGAGGGACCAGAGATCAGGTGCCCAGGCACTCTACAGCTCTGGACATAGGCCTGATTTGAAAGTACCCCCAAATTCTTTCTTAGGCCCAATCCGGATTGGAAAATTGGGTGTTTGAAGGCATGGAATAAATAAAAAGTTCTGGTCATGGAATAAGTTAAAAGTCAGATGTTTCTGGTCGAAACAGACAAGGAGAGAAGGGAGAGAGGGACAGTAGGAGGGTCACAAGAAAATAACACAAATTCAAATGGCCAGATCAACACATGAAGCCTGCAAACAGGACTCTCAGTCAACAACAGCTTGCTAATCTTTGATCTCTGTCATGAGGCTCTTAGTCCCAGTGTTTTAACTGTACTGATACCAAACTCAGAAAGCCCTCATTGAGCTTTTGGCCAAGCCTAAGACCACTCCTGCTCACATTCACTTTTGGAGGGGATGAAACATGAAGCACAACAGTTTAAAGAGTAAAACACCCAGTGTTTTCGATTAAAGCATATATGTCTCAGAATCCTGCTTTACTGTCAATAGAAATCAAAGCATACTCACATTGTAGCATATTCTCATAAAAATGCCTTTAATGTAAGAAATACTGATCCGAACTCAATCCTCTCACTCTGTCTACCAAACATAATTAGAGGTAGTAACTCATATGCTGAAATTCTCCTGAATTCTTATACATAGAAAATAAGTGAGTGATTTTAGGTAAACAAATTACATTGAAGATTGCTTACAAAGCAAATCAAAAGAACTCTGACTGAATAACTTAAATGTTGAAATGTAAAAGAGTCAATTTTATCAATGGCTCTCTTAAAAATTACAATGGGTATAACTAGAGAAGTGTTTATTTAAGTACTGTATTACCCCACAGTACACTAAATATCCAATACATTTTACATCTATTTCTTCATTAAATGATTCAAGATTTCTTATCTTACTCAGTAGAATTAATGCTAGACTGGACAAATAAGACCCAAAAAGTTCATATAAAATTGTGTCATGGTCCTTGGTAACCAAATTAGCCAATGATATTGGTCTTTTACCTGTTAAGCAGTGCTTTCTACTAAACAAAATTACCTGTCTTTGCAGTGACATTAGAAATCTATATTCAATGTGCCATAAAATCCTGTTTGTAGACCAGGCAAAGTCACTTTTCCTCTACAGCTTGTAGTTAACCCGCCCTTTAGCTTGCAATATCTGTAAACTAACCTACGGTTTCAGATGCAAAATTCTTCAAATTTGCTTAAAGTCCTGGACAACCAACCAGCTATCCACAAGATCCCAGTAACAAAGAAAGCTCTGGTTCCAACTTCTGACCTAAAGGTTGGAGGATAAGAAGTGTGATGTCAGCCTCCAAGACCTCATGCCTGTAGCCTTCCAAATTCAACCTTAGTCTTCCATTCGTACTTTAGAAAATTAGAAAATCTCTAATCAGGGTCTTCCCAAGATCAAAAATAACTTTTATTAAAGAAAATAAAATCTATTGTACATTAATATGTTTTTTCTAGAGTGCCCTGGTCTCTCTACTCCAAAGACCTTTACAGACAATATCCTTCTGACTAACCTAAGATGAATACAAAGGCATTATTCTACAAACCATGAGGTGTCAAGTGAAGAGCAAAAATCCCGACATTAACGAATTTGGAGTTAGTAACAGATAAACACAGCATTCTCCTTAACTGTCTTCAGGTGCCAAACACAATCCATGACTTTTACTTAAATAGGAAAGAAGAAGAAGAAATCTACCTAAGTCTGGCAGTTGGGGGTGGAAATAGAAGGAATTTTTCTCCTGGGAACTTTAGTTGTGTATTCAAAACGAGAGAAAAATATGAAAGCCAGATATTCATATTCTTCAACCCACAGTAGCAGGTGCTGATAATCCCTCAATTGAAACCTTTATTTCCTTCTGGGAATCATCCTGCAATCTTGAAACAAAAATAACACTAATAATTAAACTATTGCTTTTTTTCTTTAAATTACCACCTACCCTGCCTATTTAAGCTTCTCTTTTACAGAAACCACACAATCTTGCTTTCACTGAAATTTCTCTTTGGTGATATATGCAAACCAGGTCAGTTTCTGCTGGATTTGCATATTTGCATTCCATCCCTTAATTCAATTCCTTGTTAAGGCTTTAAAATGAGCCAGAGTTGGACTTCAGATCCACATAAAACAAATACTGCTTATGTATCTATGTGAACATTGACACCATTTACAGTTCCCCCCTCCTCCTTTTCCTTGGGGTTGAGAGCCCTGTCAATAATCATTACTTATTAAACAGGCTGCCATTCCCTTCTACAGAATGTAAGGAGAGAGCATGGGAGGGTAGAAATAATTACCATGGGCTTTTCTTTATAGATGTCCAAGGTGGATCACAAGAAAACCAATTGAGAAAGAGCATTATGTACTGCACCCACTCCCCACTTGGTTCAGATCCCCTTCAATACATAAAAGGTTGAGATGTATACCCACACTCCATTATGCATATCAACTGCATCAAAAGGAAGGATGAAAAGAAATCGAGATTCCTCAGGACAGACATCTATTTTTGTGGCACGCACTATATGTTCCACATACACTACATGTTCTTTATCCCTCCACAAAACTCAGGCTAGATTTGCTGAGAGAAGCAGCTAACCAGCTCCAGAGAAAATGTGCTCTCAAAAATGACTGCTTCAGCCAAAGGAGAGAGAAGCAGCAAGTTACCGTTCTGTCTGCCATTCTGGTTTGTGGCAGATTCCCTCCTTCCCCTCTTCTCCCCACTTCTCAATTGATCCTCTAGCCTACATTTCTTCAAAGCACAGAATGGGCATAGGAATTTGACTTGGACTTTAACCACTAGCATGAAAAATCCTTAAAAGGAAAAAAAAAAAAGAAGTTTCAAGGGTTAAAAAACATCCAGGGTAAGACCAGAGGTTAGGGGAAAAATCATCAGATGATTGAGAACAAACCAGTATTTCTACTGAAGAGTTAATGATGAGCACTTTTCCTTCCCTTCCAGGTGTTATGGCTCAAAACAGAAATACAATAGAAAGACAGCACAACCAGACAGTTCGAGGAGAATAGCCTTGCACAGAACTTGAACTAGCAGGCTGGGGGTTTGTCCTAAATAACCTTCACAGGTTGCACAAATTGTTCCCAGTGCCTTATCAATAGTCAGATTAAGATGCACCCTAAAATTTCTTTAGAAGACAGCATGGGGTGGAGTGGGAGTTCGGTTAGTCATAGAACATTTATAAAAATATAGAGAAAATGCACACCTCCAATACAAATAAATAGAAAGCTCTCATTCTTGGAAAAAAAAAAAAACTGGCCAGTCCTGGCAGCGGTGGAGCCAGGGTGGAAGCTGCTCCATTCCAAGTGTGACCTGTTTCCAAGGGGAATTCCAATCCTTGAGTGCCCAGAACTCTGTCCCAGGCAGCCTCTATTTTTCAGGCACAGTGGGAGGAAGAGGAGATTCACACCCCATTGGGAACAAAAGCAAATGCCTTGCAGAGCAGAAATAATTTTTAAAAAACAAAAAAGAAAAGAAAAAGAAAAAAAACGCCACCACACTCCTCCATCAGGACCCTAGAGGCAGTAGCTCTGCAGAGTTCCCTCATATTACCCCACACCCCCCTCCAGCTCACTGACTCTCGAGGCCACTGAATCAATTTCTATACCTTGGGCATGGTGTATACCTATACGCCACGGGCAGGGAAGGAGTGGGGAGGGGATAGTCGGGAATCAGTTTAGCCCACGTAGGTGTAGGGCCTCATTTCCCCAACGCCCCCGTTGGCTTCTCATTAACCCTTTCTGGTCCTGGGCCCGGGTCGGGGCTGCTGGACAGTCTTCAGCTTCTAACATCTTCATCAAACCATCACCGCACACACACGCCCATCCCGACCTCCCCACTAGGACAGAACTTCCTTTGTGGCTTAGGGTCGGTCTGATTGCTTGTCCTTTGGCCGCGTCTCTATTCAGCGGTGGAGGTTGGGGGTAGGGGGTGGGCTCAAAGCTCAGGGAAAGGCCTCTCCCTCCCACCGCGGCTCCCCTCCAGAGCGCTCCCGGGCTGGCCGGCCGGTCTGCAGAGAGGAGGGATCGCACTTGCGTGTTAACCCTTGAAGGGGACTTAGGTCTAGTTCTGATCCGGGACCCACTGGACCAGGGGTCCTGGGAGCTTAAAAGTCGCCCTCTGCTTCCCGTCGCCCCCACCCCACACACGGACCCACAATAGGCCGGCACCTTTCTTCCGCTGCTCCAAGGCCAGTTTTAACAGTTTCAAGCCGGCGCTCCAAGAGGGACCGGGATGCGAGGAGGGGGCGGAGGGCCGAGGGCTATAGGGGAGGAAGAGAGAAGCGGGGAGCGAGCGCTGGCAAAAGAAAGAAATAAACAGACAGACGGAGAAAGGGGAGTGGGGAGGGGGCGGGCGACTCAGAGCGGCCACAAGGCGAGTCCGCGGTACAGCAGAGCTCTGGATGAAATTTACTTACGAAATTTGGGGCTGGTGCTAGTTTCTGGAGTGGTGGTGGTGGTGGTGGTGGTGGTGGAAGAGGAGGAAGCAGAGGAGGCAGCATCCTGAAAGGGTGATAGGGTCCAAGAGGGAGTAGAATCGTGAAGGTAGGAGGAGGTAGCGTATGCCGCAGTGGGCCAGGAGGGCATGGCCTCGGTACTGGGGGTCCCAGGCCCTGGGGGTCGGGAGCCCGGCGTGCTGCTACTGAAGAAAGGGGCCGTGGTGGAGAGAACCGTCGGGGGGGCCGCAGTGTTCCGCGCCGTGGTGGAGCGCGGGCTGGCCCGAATGGGCACCCGGTGCCCCGGGAAGCGAGTGGGCGCCCGCGTGATGGTCAGGCGGGTGCTTATCCGGTTAGGCGTCCTGGAGGAGGCAGCGCCGCCGGCCGGAGGGGTGGCGGGGGACGTGGTGGAAGTGGTGGTGGTGGTGGTGGTGGTGGTGGTCTCCATCGCCTTGGGGAAGGAGCTGGGCTTGGAGAGGAAGAAGGGGTCCTGGCCCATCCCCTTGGAGTCCACCAGGTCGGTGGGCACGTACTCCTTGACGGAGCCCACCACGATCCATTTGAGGAGCATGAGGCTGAGCCCCAGGCCGATGAAGCCGATGAACAGAGGCACCACGCACAGCCACGTCTGCTGCCGGTTCCACACGATGCAGTCGCTACAGCGTAACTCCCGGGGGGGCTCGGCCGCCCCTTCGCCGCCGCCGCCGCCGCCGCCGTCCGGGCCCCCGCCCGCCGCCGCCGCCGCCGCCGCAGCCGCCGCGGTGCCCTCCTCGGCCGAGGCGGCGGCTGCCGAAGCGGCTCCCGGTGGCGAGGCAGCGGCCGCGCCTTCACTCATCCTAGGAGCCGGTCTTCACCTTCGCCCCCCCGAGGGCCGCGCCAGAGGCATGGGGCCGCGCGGGCCGGGCGCGGGCGCGGGCGCGGGCACCGGCGGCGGCGGCGGCGGCGGCGGCGGCGGCGGGCTCGGGCGCAGGCAGCGGCCGCGGCGGCCGCATGCAAATCGGCTCCCTGCCCCCACGCCCCTCCCCCCGAGAGGCGGGCGGCGGGCGGGGAGGAGGGGAGCGGGGGGAGGGGACGCGGGCCGGGGAGGGGGCGCCGGGGAGCGCGGCGGACGGGCGAGACGGGGGCCCCGGCGTCGCCGACCGGTCAGGGAGCGGTGGGGCGCGTCTGCAGCCCGCCAAGCGGCCTCCTGCACGCCGGGGACCCGCTGCTGCTGCTGCTGCTGCTGCTGCTACTGATGCTGCTGCTGATGCTGCTACTGATGCTGATGCTGATGCTGCTGCTGCTGCTGCTGCTGCTCCCGCTGCTGCTGCCGCTACTGCTGCTGCTCTTGCCGCTGCTGCTCTTGCTGCTGCTGCTGCTGCTGCAACTGCCGCTGCCGCTGTGGTCGCTGTCCACGTCCACCGCCTGCCTGCACTCCAGCCGCGCCCGCATCCTCGGGGTGCCGCGCCCGGCTCGCTTCCCGGAGTCCCCCCCTCTCCCCTCCCCTCCGCCCGCCCGCCCGCGCCTCCGCTGGGCCGCGCACCGCCTTCAGGGGCCGGGGCGGCCGGCCGCGGGCTTCGGGGCGCCGGAGAGCCGCATTCCGATACTGGCCCAGTGGGGTGGGGGACCGGCCTGGCCGCCGCCGCTGCCACTGCTGCTCCGGCCCCCCCGCGCGCGGCGCTCCTCGGCGGCGGCGGCGGCGGGCTGCACCTGTTCTCCTGCCGGCCCGCAGCCAACCCTCGGCCGCCACTCGCCGCCGGAGACCAATCCGAGCGCGGCGCGGAGGGCGAGCGCTCGGGCTCGTCTGGCTCCCGCCGCCGCCGCCGCCGCCGCCCGAGAGTCAAACTCCGAGGAGCCGCGCCGCGGCCGCCAGCCCGGGGCAGGGGGCGCACGAGCCGCCCGCGACCCGCCGCCGACCGAGCCCGGCCGGGCCGCTGGGGAGGGGAGAAGCGGGGCGAGCCCCGCGTCGTGGAGTCCGGAGGGTGGAGGGGAGGAGGTGGGGGGAGGCGGCTCCCGGCGGACTCGGGGTGTGAGGGGCCGCCGCGGATGGGATGGGCTGGGCGGATTTCAGGCCGAGGAGCGCCTCCCCCCTCCCCAGGAGCAACCCAAGGGGGGTTTCTGGATACGCGCGAGATAAAGAAATGAGCCCGTTGGAGGGTCCCCGGCTGTCCGGGGCGGGGGCGTGTGCGCGCCCCCCCACCCCAACCCACCCCGAGGCGGCTGCCGCGGCAGGGGGAGCCTCCTAGCCCTCCGGGTTCCCGACACCGACGCTGCTGAAGCATCGGCAGTTCTTCGGCAGTTCCATGCCCATTTCTGGTAAATTACCTTAGGGGGGAAAAAAAAAGTGGGACCTTCAAAGGTAGATGTGCGCACAGGTTCGCACACACGCCGCCCGGCGTGAGCCAACCGACAAGGAGGAGCACATTTTTCAAAGGACTTAGGGTGGAGGGTGGTACCCAGAACTCTGTGGCTGATGTCTTTCCTCCGGGGAGAGAGGGAACTGAGCGTCGCTTTCTCGGTTTGCAATTGTGGGAGCCGCCTGCGGGACCGGGAAACGGGACGACGTGGGGCCCTGGGGTGGTAAAGAACCCACAGCAGCGGTTTCTGTAGAAGATGCAAAAGCGCTCTTGGAAATTCACCCCCAGATTTCCGGTTCTCATGTGGAAACCCCGCAAAGATGTTTTTATTTACAAGCTCCGAGAGAGGCTGGGGGCGGCAGCCTGCTAATCCACCTCCCCCGCGCTGAATGATTGGCGCCCGGGATGGAGCAGGCGGTGGTCTCTCACCCTCCGATAGTCTCCACAATAATCACGTTTCCAAGAAATCCACTGGACTCCCAGGTGGAGAAGCAGCGGGGCGCTGAAAACACTGCAGAAAGCCAAGGATGCATCAAACGCGAAGCCCCCAGGATTCGGCGCCTGCCCGAGTACTTTGCACAGATATGGTTAATAAATTACTTTGGATGGCAGCAATGCGGCTGTCACCTCTTTCAGCTATAACATTGCAATGTCCCCCCTAGGAAAACTGTTATTAATCTGAGAGAACATGCCCTAATCCAGTAGTGGTGAATTATGGTTTCAAAAACTGCAGCGGGTGGATTAACAGGGGAGTAGGCTCTGGTGTCAGATATATAGGTAAACGTAGAAAATAACTTTTCAAAGCTCATCTAGCTCACTGGCTCTTTGGGGTTTCTGGGGCTTCTTCCTCCCCCTCCCGCCCCGACCCCCTTCTGCCCCGAAGTAAACCAGTACATGAAAGGGCAAGGGGGTGTTACTATGGTTGGCAAATGAGCTCCTGAAACAGAAGTGTTAAGACGTGCAGCCCACTTGTTTCAATGCTCCCAATTTTCGTTTACCTCTTTAACCTCTTCAACTTTCTTCATCTCTCATTTCCATTCAGCTTTAACAATTAATTCGTGGTTTCCTGTTGAGGAACCACGGATTTTATTCTCAGCTCCCTACCCAGTGCACTTGACTTCCCATTGGCTGCTCTCACCGTGAGTATCACTTCTATAGGAATAGAAAGAAGAGTCCACCGGTTTGAAAGCTTTGTTGTGGAGAGCAGGTTGTGTCATCCAATGCAAGAAGTTGCCCGGGAGGCCATGAATATTGTGTAGTTTTACTGTGAGACTCAATGTAGCAGGTGGTATCACTTCCTCCCCGCAGTGGTAGGAAGGAGTGTCCACAGCAAAATCAAGCACAGGTGTGGATGTTCTGTCTCAGTGTCATTAAAGCATCAATTGACCAGTGTCATACTAAGGAGGGGTCTCTTCAAAATCCACATAGCCCTCGAATGCCTGAGAAAGTTTCACACTAAGTCTCCTAAGACACATATTCATATTAGAGCTCTGCCCCTCAGATGCAACAAAGTCACCCCAATCTCTTTCTCATTTGCAACATTAAGCCATGGTACCCATATTTTGTATAATTGCCTAAAATTGTAGAGTTAAATGATCAATTCTCCTAAACCAAATTTTAAGCATCCTTATCCAATCCCTGCCTGGAGATCAGTTAGTGAGTTTTTCTAACAGGAGAACATGCCTCCCTCTCTCTTGAGCTCCCGATCTGCCTGAATGCCCTCACCTGCTGGATATCTCTTATGTGATCCACATATAGTTTAAAATCAGAATATCATTACTAAAATGTTGGCCACAAACCACCATTTATATTAAACTTCACTTTTTCTCCTTCAGTTGCACAAATAAATTCCCAGACAGGGAGTGGGGGTCATCTGTAACTATTTGCCTCTGATAACCTAAGTTCAATTAGTCATGGTAATTAATTTTCTATATTTAAAATGGGACTGTCCTGAATTCCCTCCATTACAAATTCTTTTGCAAAGACCCATATTAAGAATCACAAGAACAGAAAACTGGACATGAACTTGCTGGACAACTACTTCCAGGGTATCACACACACACACACACACACACACACACACACACACACACACAACCCTGTCCTGTCATTCAGATTGCACTGGAGCTCTGGTTGAAGAGACTGCTTCTTGGAAAAAACCATCAAATTGGAGATAGTATATATAATTAGAAAAGTTTTTGTATTAAGCCAAAAATTTCCCTTTTTTGCTTGTTTTTCGGGCCACAGCAGGCAATGCTCCAGGGTTACTCCTGGCTCTGCACTGAGGAATTACTCCTGGAGGTGCTCAGGGGACCATATGGGATGCCAGGGATAGAAGCCAGGTTGGCTGCAAGCAAGGCGAGTGTCCTACCTATTGTACTCTCTCCAGTTCCCCCAAATCTGCCTTTGTATACTTTTTCCTGTTTATCTAAAATCCTTAAAATCTTTCATGAGTTAGATGGCATGCATCAAGGATACAAAAAAAATAAATAAATAAAAACCACCCTATACTTTCATAAACTTGTATTGCAAGATACTGACAATAAATAAGCAAGAAAAATGAATTATATAGACTATCAGAAAATGACAGGCACTGTTTGGAGCACAGAGAATAGGCCTTGATGCTGTGCTTACACCAGACATCTTTAATTCAATTCTTTCCTCAATGTCCTCAATCTATTCACCTTCCTAACAGAGCATGAGAATTTTTATTTTTTTTTTTAGCTGTGAATTTCCTGGATAAATATTGTTACTACAGAGACTAGTCTGTCCCACAGAATTATAATGTTCTTTACGACATGTGTAGGCAATGTAATATCTCAAAATAATTCACGAAGTAAATACTTCACAAAGGGCTAATAAGGTTACCCCTCTCCCCATGGTTGCATATTTTTTATTCTCACTTGATTTAGACCTCTACTGTTATTATAATGAAATGCCTTTCATAGTAAATCATAGCAGTCTTTTTCAAGAGAAGCATATTTCTTTCTTCATAGTCTCAACAAGTAACTTTATTTATTCATTTTAAGTGCTATTTTTATATCTTATGAATAGAACCCACCCAAGATGTCCTGTGAAAGTGCAAGATGCATCCGGGTAGATTTGTCCACAGTATCTTAATTGATTCCAAGGATGTTGTCATTATCCACTAATATACATCTTCAAAGCACGAATACAAAAATCCTCCAGAGCAAAACATGTATATAGAAAGGTAGAAAAAAATAGTCATAACTGTATCCTAGTGACAAAAATGGTTATAATATAATATCTTTCAGATTTGGGAATTTAGAACATTACCACTAGCACTCTCTAAATTAGGAAATGCTGAATGCTGTATATCAGGGTATGAAATTAGAAATTTTGAACAAGGCATGAAAATCAAGTAGATATGAAATTTCAGCAGAGCTGCTCTCGTTTCATAACTTCCAGAGACCCTCAGGGTCACACTTAAAATTGGCACCCATATGTGGGGAACAATTCGAAGCCACAACAGAACAAAAAGGCAGGGCTCTGCAGATTGGTAGGTGTTAGTTTTAATAAGCAGAGGGATTGACATACAAGGCTTGGCTTGGGCAGCTGCAAATGAAAAGATCTAGAAGCTTTAACTGGGTCAGGCACACATAAAGTCCACAAATACTCCATCATGTACTTCTCTCGCATAGTAGCATGCTTGGAATGGTACCATCTCTGAGCACAGTGGATAGAACATGTAATCCAGGGACTGGGAGAGTGGAAGTGCTTCCTGGTGTGGGAGTCCAGCTTGACTCCCATGTCAGGTAAATGTCTAAAAATGCTCCTACATCACTAATCATGAGGGAGATGCAAATCAAGTCAGCAAACAGATAACATCTCACACCGCAGACACCAGCATATATCAACAAGAACAACCAGT